GAAAATTGAATAGTTGATGATGAGTTTGACAAAGAAAAATGTGTTGAGTTTGAAAGTAGTGAATTTATGTGATAAATGTGAAAATAAGTATTGATGCTCACTTGAGTAGCACATGGTTGTGAGCCTAATGTGTGAATTTTGATAATGAATAAATAGGAATGTGAAAAATGAGTGAGCATCATACATGGCATGATTAGTAGACTGGAGTTCACCTAGGGATGGGAGTAGAGAAAATCCATATGGTATTCTGGCTACCCTTTGATGCATGAGGATATAGTCTTGTATCATATTTTATCGAGGGATTGTTGCGGAAATCATATAGACTCCATTCCTACCCATGGCATATTTACAATAGAAAAAGGAGAATATTACAAAAATAAGACATTGTACTTGAACTTGCAATTGATTAATAAACATAGTTAAAGCTTAGTGATCACAAATTTGTTTAGCATTACCAATAGCATCTTGTAATGTAAACAATTGAAAAATTGTATCATACTGAGCTAGTATTTAGTACAACATGACGTCAATCATAACAGTATGGCATTAAACAAAAACACAAAAAAAAGCAATCATAATAGTATTTATTTGCCAAACTAGCCACAAGGCATAAAAAATTCATATAAAAAATCAAAATTGTTAGATAAGGCTAGCACCCAAGAGGAGGAATGAATTTAATTTTAAGAATTTTTCTAGGATTTTTAACTCAGAAGGATGCATATAAGAAAGTAAGATAGGAATCTGGAAATTTTAAGAGACTTTGAGAAGAAAAAGCTTTGACACAATTGATTTACCTTGATTCAACTTAATCACTTAGCTTACATCCAGTTATCAAGATCAACTTTAAGATTTTCAATTATAATCACGAGCTTCAATAGGTACTTGCTAACACAATATAACTCTCAAGACTTCACTACTTTTAATTCAATAACAATATTTGGTATATCAGTAAGTTGTTATAGCTCAGTTAGAAAATTGTTTTTCTAAGGTTTTAATTTAGGTAACATGAATAAAACTCTTAAAGAAAACTCTCTAAAAAGAGTATATGGAATACAATAAAAGCTTATAGACTAATGAGAGATTTTTCATAAATATGTCAAAGAATTGATAACATTGTAATGCTCAGAAATGTGTTTACTAGAATGTTCACAAACTTAAAATGATGTTAATATGCCCACTTGATTGCCTGCTAATGTAAATGAAGTCATATATATAGTTTAAGAAAGTTTTAGATCATTAGAATAGTGATTATAGCGATTAGAGACATTTCAAGTGTGGAATGAACTTATCCATGTGTGAAATGGAGCTTGGTTATTTTTCTTTGGTTCATTGATGATGTTTTAGGTGTGGAACTTCAGTGTTTTTAAGCATTATTTGGATGATAGAAGTTTTAGTCTTCTCTATATGACAAATCACGCGTGAGTGTTAAAGGTGCTCATATGTGGAACAAATGGTAGAAATGCCTAACTTCTTTGTGTGACAATTCACATGTTGAAAAAAAAGTTTTCATACATGGAATGAATGGTAGAAGCACATAGCTTCTTTGTGTGACAATTTATGTGTGGGTAACACTAGTTCTCAAGCATGGAATAGATGACTGAAGCACCTAGCTTCTCTAGATGACAATTCATGCTTGGAACACTCCAAAACAAACCTGATTTGGCTTCCTTGGTTCTAGACTTTTTAAGGTTAAACTTCAATCCAAAATAGGCATGTGCCATTTCAAGAGTGAATTTACTTGATTCAAGCATGGAATATCACTTATGCAAAACACAAGCTGACACTTTAGGGCAAGTCAAGCGTGAGTACAATATCTATTCAAGCATCAATTCAAGTATAGAAACATATCCAAGACAGTAACTACCGCACTTTAGGTGCCAATTCATGTGTGGATCGCTATGATTCAAGCGTGAAATGGCTCGCAGTGTAACGTCTAACTTTTATGGTCTAATCAAGCATGATTCATTCTAATCCAAGCTTGAATTGGATATACTAAATCCTATTACGCACTAAGGATAGCCAAACCATATATGAATCATTTTAGATTAAGTATGAAATAAACAATTGAACATAGGTGTATTATAAAAGGTTTGAAGCTTAAGATCAAAGGGCTTATGAGCTTAAGATTAATTCTCAAATGCAACATTCTTATCAATTAAATGACATATGATTTAGTTCTCATAGTTTTTACATTGAATCTAAAAGAAATAAATAAATAAACCTACTACACTATGTCTTCTCTTGATCTTTGTGCTCTTGATGGTTTTGTCATTTCAATAGTTTTTGAAATTTACACAAATAACAAACATCTTTCTCTTAGTTTTTTGATCATTAAAACAAATGGTTCAACAAGAATCAAACATGCATTCATTTTGGGTGTGGGTGGGTACATAAATAGTAGCAAAGATGAATAGAGATGAACTCAAAGTGAACCTTCCTTGAGTGTTAAGAGCAGCGACGACATGACGAGCAACCAGATGCTGGATAGCAGACACAGCTTCAGTAACCTTGAATGCAACCAGTCATGAGGGAAGTTGAACTTTGAAACCTCTCAAGTCAGAACTCAAGATTGAAGAGGTGAAGAGGGAGCGACGGACGAGCGAATCGAAGGAGTGAAGTAAGTTGCAGCTACTGGTCTAAGGTTTCCTTCTCTCTTCTTTGTGCTCTTATTCTTAAGTTTAAATGCTAAAATGACATTGTTGTGTAATTTTTTAGAAAATAAGCACCCTTAAGTTAGGTTAGGCCGAATGGTTGGGCAGGGCATTTTTTTTCCCTTTGGGTCAGGCCAAAAAAAAAAAAGCTGGGCCATGTTTGTTGAGTAAATGAGCCACATGTTTACTCTAATTTATGAGATTCAAATACCTAGTTTGGCTAGATATGGAGTAGAGATTTAGATGAGATGATTACTATTGAGGGATGTCAATTTGAAAGTGATTCATCTATCAATCATAAATTATAAGATGAGGTGATTACTTTTTTAACTATCTTGCATGATAAAAATTGGCTTTTGAAAAATACTCCTTTCATTCTTATATTTAAAGTATTTTTAACTAAATTCTATATATCAATATAAGTTTGTTATTTAGTTAAAAACTTATAAAAGAATAACATTTTTTTAGTTTTGCCCCTTAATAAATGTTACAATTAATATCATTATAGTGGGTAAAGCACAATGAATATCTCTTTCTCTTTTTAAGATAAAGATAAAATTATCTAATTACTCAAAATTATTATGACACTCCTTATATTTATGAGCTAATTGTCTAATTAGCTCATAAAAATACTTTATGTATAAAGATGAAAGGAGTAAATTTTTCCACTATGAAAATATGTTGAGTATGAGGTTTGGATTTTCCATGGAATTGATTATTTTGACTAAAACCATGGTTTGGCTAAAATATATCCAAACATCCCCATTTGATTTTAATCAATTATCTAGGTTGTAACCACATTCTAGTTGAAGCTAGCAAGAATTGCTTATCAATTCCACTTTTCACAATTACCTGCATTTATTGGTTGTCAGAATATTGACTTGTCAAATATACCCCTCTTACACGTCCCTCTTCTTGTGTGCTATTGTTCCGCTGCTCCTCCATCCGTTTCTTCCTCTTGCCAAATATGTTTATTCTTTTCACAAGTTAAATTATTAGTATTACAATATAACATAATTTAAATTTCCAATTAATTAGTATATAATTATATATTAAATAATTATATAAATATTATATGGATCACTATTATACATATTTTTTTATATAATACATATTTTATTTGTTAAATGGAATTGAACAAATTTAATAATATTATATACAAGTTTATTAATATTTACATTTTAAAAAGAAATATTCTTTATGATAATTTACATACTTAAAATTGATTTTGATTAAAATTATTCAAATATTTTTAATTTCATTAAAATTAATTTCATAAAATAATATTCAAATATCCTCACATTATAACGTAATCAATTATACTAAAAATTAATTATATTAATTAAATTTTTATTATTAATTATATTCAATTGAAATTGAAGCAAGTCCTACAAACATGTAGGTCTTCTTTTGAGTTTATTACACAGCTTAAAATTCTGCTATAATGCAAATCAACAATAAATTGCTTAAAGAGTTCCATCTAGTTATTATTATTTTCATAACCTAATCATTGCTTTTTTTAAAAAAATAAAAATATGCTAAAATTTGCAAATGATAATCATAAAAAGAACATAAGATTGTCTTGAATAATAAGCGAAAACCTATATGCAATAAAAATGAACTTTAAAATTCAAATGTTAAAGTAATTCTAAAGGTCCTTTCTTTGGGAGAATTAGAGGATTTAAAAAGTTTTAACACAATTTAAAAATTATATTACAATTTATTACCTGTTCAATATGAAATTTCAAGTGATTTTTTTTTTGGCCACACACGTTACTTTCATTTGAGACCAAAAAATATATATACAAGGATAACTTTTCACTTAAATTTATATTTAGATGGAATAAATAATGCAAATTTTATTGTTTGACCTTTTATTAAAAAAAAAAACAAAAGATGGAATAAACAATGCAACAAAAACATTACCTCTGGATTCCTTCAAAGTTCTCCAAATCATCCCTACTACTTTTCAAATAAATAATTCTTTTTGTTTCAACCAACCAAACAACCAATGGGTACTTGTCTTAATGGTTAGAGACCTAAACAGCTTAACTTGAAGTCTCCAGTTTGAATTCCAAAATATGTAACTAATGTAGTTGAGTATGCAATGCATGTCTTGCCAATGGTAACTACGAAACCCCCTCAAAGAAGACCTCACCTAAGTGGAGATCCGGATTAATCTGGAGTGGATTGGGCGGGTAACGAACCCAACATACCCAAACGCTTCAGGATACCGAGTGCGAAAGGGGAAAAAAAAAACCTACCTAACATCCAATTCTTGGGTATTGAAACAGCCAGGAAGTTCACTTTTGTTCCCCGGCTGTCATTGTGTGTGTGAGAGAGTGGGGGTGTAGGAAAAATTCATTTTTCCCATCATTCAAATAGTATAAGCAATAAACATACATAAGCCATGTGGATTCTGGAAAGTCGCTATCATAGCACAAGAATGAGACTAATAAACTTATCCTAATACTTACAAACTAACAAAGTATAATCACATGATTCTGAAGACTTTTATCGAGTCAACACCTACACAAGTGTGCAACTCACAATTTGATATATCCAGATTCCTGAGGTGTAAAACCAGGTGCTCAATTAAGTTGTTGTCCGGCTGACAGACTGAAGACACACGAATCGACATTAGTATATCAGGTAGCAGAGCATGACGACAAGTCCTAGACCAATTCAAATTGTATGCACAGATGGAACATGAGTATGCCACTACAAATAGGATGAAATCCTAAAGATAAATTCACAAAATTCATCAGTGGTATTATTCACTGATTGCAGCAACAGAAGTAGTGGATGGAGAAGACTGCTGACGACCAGCTTGGGCAGTTACTCTGGCGAACCAAGCGACCCTCATGATCTGCAAACCAAGAATCAATACCCACCAGCAAACCAGCACCCTAATTGTATGCACCATCCATGCTGGGGTGCTGAGTTCAACCCCAAGCCTCAAACCTCTCATCAGCTGCAACACACGGTAAGACTCATAAATGATCGGAGTTACCAGCCAGACTGGTGACTGCCAATGCCAAGTGAGAACCTCAGTGAGAATTTGTACTGACAAAAGAAGAAGGTAAGGACCCAGTAAGATTGCAAAAGATATCAAAGGAAGTTGAGGTAGGAGAAAACCCTTCTCAGATCCAAATATCATCAATGATGGAACAATAAATCCAGTAACAGTTGCAACAATGTTCCAGAACTGGTAACTAAAGGGAGCCTTGCTTTTGCAATCTTCTGTGGGGTACTTTGGTCTGCACAAGAATCAGCCATGAGGAGAAAAAGGGTTGCACCAAGGTTAAAGATACAATCAAGTCCAATCAACGAAAGCAAGCTAGCGATATTAGAGCCCACAAATATTGAAGATATTGGTAACCACAACGTTGGGACCATGCCTGTTGTGAGAAGAACAGAAGGACCCAGAACCCACATGGGCCACTTGAGAAACTGAAACAAAAATTCATGCTGAAATTTTGTCTCTGCAGGCACATCAGCATCGTTTATTGCTGGCTCATCGCTTTTACTTGAATCAAGGGTTTCAAATATATTGGTGCCAGTCTGCAAGAAATCATTGCTCTGATCATTGGCAGGAGCAAATGTGACAGCAGGTGATGGCTCCCATGGAGTCAACTCTGTGCAGCATATGCAGGATTGTTTCTTGTAAATGTGAGGAAACGTGAGTCCTTGGAATACTTTTCCTGATTTTAATAATGCCAGGTTTCTAGGATGAGCTCTCCCAAAAGTGAAGGTTTGAATTTTAAAAAGAGGTTGAGCTAATGATGTCATTCCTCTATATATGCCTGGAACAACTCTGAAGGTTTTTGTGCTGTTTGTCCTTTGACACCTGAAGTAAGAAGGGTAATCAGAAGATGGCAGCTTCATTGCCGTTCCCATAATCAAGAAACTACATTTTTGCAATTGCAACATATAAAAAATCATCATATGCTACTTTGAGCAGACTACAAAAAAATATAACACCAGTCACTTAAAGAGATAAGAGTTACCTAAGGGAAGGTAAAATATAAGTTTCAGGGCCTCAATTACGTGATAGGATAATCTTTAGCACGCTAATACATTGATTTTTTGAATATTATCTACCACCTTTATTGAGCATCTTATAAACATTCCACGTGCCTAGATAACAACAAACTTCACAGAACATCATGAGATGGTTGTCTGGTGAATGGGGGGATTGGGTGGGTTACCAACCGAGTTTCTAGAATAACTTAAAGTAATATGCTTGGAAACCATTCAATTTTTTTTATAGATAAATATGATTAATTGATCAATCATTTAACAGAAGAGTATCCAACTTATTTTTTATATCTATGTCCATCAAAACCACCCCTTATTAAAATGCTAGCCTTAATTCATACCATAATTATAATAAATAAATTATATTTTGACTGCAGTGAGAGCATATGAATTTGAAATATGACGCAACAGTTAAAAACACTGTCAATCAATCCAGACAGAGATTTTAATAAACTACAGTCCACAACAAATTGTAAGAATATAATGCCATACAAAAAAATTATACTGCATATTCTGATTATGTTATCTTAATGTTTTTCATTTTCATCAAGAGCAAGAGTTAATAAAAGTTGAAGTCTAACATGTCTTGTTCTTATAATTGCCAAACCATGAATATACAAAAACGGAAAACTTAATTATTCAAAAAATGGCCAGACAATCATGTTAATCATTCATAACTTGTACATCTTCCAATGTAGCATAACGTTCCATCTTTAAAAACCCTAAATACATAAAGAAAAAATGATTTTGTCTACTTTAGGGTAAGTTACACTTTCCAACTATGTCGCATGGAAATCAATTTGTCCCCATGCTTAAAGCATCTCATTCAACTGTCCTTGCGTTCAAACTGTTACTACTTAACTATCTCGAGGCATTGGTAGAAATCTCAACAGAAATAATTTTGTGAATGTTAAAATTATGAAAAATTTCATGCTTAACAGCATGTCTCACTTATACCTTGAACAGTTTTATTGTTTGTTACTTGCTACAACTATTAATAGGATTAAGTTGAAGTTTCAAAAACCAGATTTTTTCTGTCATATTATTCCAATGCTACCCTCTCACAACATTGTGAACACAATGAAAGCATGAAATTGTTTATTATTTCAATATTAACATGATTATTTTTGCCTAAATTTGGATGTAAAATATCATATAGTGATCAAGTGTTAATAGACAAAGCCATAGGGGTGTTTAATGACGGACTTTAAACCATGGGGACGAAACACATTTTGAGACATACCCAGGATATACTGTAATTAGTCCTTGACTTTATCAACACTTTCTAGTCCAATATAACACTTTCACCAGAAGGTTAAGAAGCCTTTGAATGAAATGCTTATCTGCTATCTTTCCATTAGAATGATATATCTAATATGATCCAGTCCATTAAATTCATCTCCCTGATAGATTGGGTTGGATGGATGGCTTGGGTATCAGGGGTCATGATTGACATACCTAACTATGAATGAGTATGAACTTAGTCTAATACAGGAATGGCCTTTTTAAAAGGAAACAAATAAGAAGCATCATGGTGTGGGGAACAAATAGATTCTATAGAACCATGAAAATTGGTCTAAAGTCATTGAGTTTCTGATGCAAGAGATATGAACAGAAAAACAATCAGGTAAGTGACAACACTAGTACACATTGCAATTTATGTTAATTTCCTCTTATTGTCTTTTTGCATATTTGTTTTGAAAGGTAGATTAATAAGAATTTGCAACATTAAACTCTTATCAGGTAATTAAATATTTATGCATGCATCCCCTCTGCTGAGGCTGAGGCTCATACTAGTGGTGCTAAGTTTAAAGAGAACATTACCTTCTCTATAGTTAGCACAAAGCCACAGACTAAATCCTTTCCCAGATCTATCAATTTGTGTCTTCCATGCGCTGTGACCCTCTCTCTCATTAGAATAGTAAAAGAAATAGGGTACAGATTCCACAATTAAGTTTAACACTCTATATCCTGGCTGATTAACACTTCTACTATCTTTGTGGCTATTCTCTGATCTTTTTTCACTCATTTCTTTATATTCTCAATATTCAATCTTATGATGATTCATTTTCAATTTAAAACTCGTACGTGCGTATATATGGTTAAAATTTACCCACTCGCCACTAGGGGGAGTCGTCAAAGAATTGTTTTGGGGCTTTTGCAATAAAGCTCATTGCATGATATGTCTGATAAAATAATCAATTTAACAAGGTCAACGAGCTCTGAAATAGTCACACTTGTATTATGAACGAAGTGTTTCATTCTCAAAGGGCAGAACAGAAACTAGACGATGAAAAACAAAACACTAAAATTTTTCTCTCGCTTAAATCATAAGTTATAACACCTATATGATGCTCAAACAACTGATCATTAAGAATAAAAAAGGCACATAGCTCAGCTAATACTATTGCTCTTCGTAAATGAGTATGGAAAAGATCAACTCAAAACAGATACGGCACCCATACATAAATTAAAGCTAAAATTCAAGTAGGTTTTCAAGTTTTCTTTTCCGATCGATTCCCATCAACCAAACAGGAAATGGCTAGAAAGCAAATGTCTAATGAATCAGAGACGACTTACAGGAAAAGCAGAAATGTATTGTGATTTCAGACGATAAGGAATCCAATAGGAAAATGAAAATTGTCAGAAATCAGATAGCTACCTATGGCGGCTAGGGGTCTGGGCGAATTATTCTGCAAGTAATAAAATCAAAAGCGATTGTTCGGCGATTAGAGGCAAATGAGGAAATTTTGCAACCCCCGGTGTCTTCACATCACCTGCAAACAACACGTGGAGTCGTGTGAGTTAAGGGAAACGTGCCGGACAACGAAACCGGCTGGAAACCAAAAAATCATAAAATGAAAGAAAAGGGGAAAGTGCTGGAAATTCCAACTGGAGATTTTTTTTTTTTTGTTGTTGAAAAATTAGCAATTAAGGATTTAAGGTTCACCGGCCAAAATTTATATCAATTTTTATATCAATTAAAAATTAATTATTGTCAAAATTAAAATAAAAAAAAGAAAAATAAGTAAGAATAATAGCTTATTTAAAACTCAAATGATATTTATTAATATTCAAAAATAATTATATGTAATTAAATATAATGAGATTATGACATAGTGTCTAGCATTAAAAATTAACAAGAGTGAATATTACCTTAAAATGTCAAGCCCAATTGAGATCAAAATATAATTTCTTAAAATTTTGGGTATCAAAATATAATTACAAAAAATATATGAAATTTAGGAAGAATTAAAAAAATAGTATGTGAAAAGAAAAAAAAATATTTGAAGGAGCAATATCAATTTTATATGTTAAGAATTTCCCTAGGATTCAATTATAAAAATTATATTCATTCAAGTCAAGAAAATATCCAAAATTTCTAGCCAAGATTAAAATTTAATAAGAGGCCACTTGAGCCATGATGTATGCCGTGGACAATATAATAGGCTGCTAGTGAAAAGGAATTTTTAATTTTACTTTGCAAAATCAAAGGGAAAAATGCTTGTTTGAAATTAGTGAAGTTCACCATTTCGACTTTATGAAAGCTTTTTCACTTATTTAATATAATATGTTTGATAATTACCTTCTTTTAGAAACTATGAGGAGAGTTAGAGATTTTGTCATGAAAGACTGGATCATTATCTTCGATTACATGTTTAGGAAAACAAATGGATATGCTAACATATTTTCTCACTAAGCCTTTCGAGATAATTTAGATATTATTATTTTTAATCATTCGTCTTTAGGCTGCAAATTCATCATGGAATCTGACATGACTTGATTTCTTTTTCTTTTTGTATGGATCTTCCATGACCTTATATTCTCGTAACCATTTCTGTCAGCAGTGCAAAAAGAAGTGGGGGGGGGGGGAGTGCATGAGAGTTGAAGAAGAAGAAGGAATAGTTAGAGAGAGAGAGAAGAAATCAAGCCAAAATTCCACTCTAATTTCTTCTTTCTCATATATTTCCTTCACAAAACTTGTTCCTCTTTTTAAGAGGAACATTTCAATGATTTTAGATTTTTAAAAGGATGAGTTTGAAATAGTAACTTCTTGCAAGAAGATTTTATAGGTTTACAATACTGCCGTCAGGTCATCGACATGCTTGATCTTATCTACATTTCTTTTTGCAAGATCTCTAGTTGTAGAAAAAGTTAGTGGTTGATCAACTTTCTCATTTGATGTTTCCTTCATCTTACAAGATCTCCAGCTAGAGTCAAGTCTTTTCCCATTAACTTTGCTAAGAGAAAATGGTTTTATTGAAGCCTCTACCTCCCTTAAAGCCTTTTACCTGCACTATAATATTTTTTGCTTTAGACAATAATTTTATTTGCAATAATTTTAAAAGTGTGCCTAATGTAAGAATTAGTAACAGTTTTTGTAAATTATTATTGTTCTCCAACTTTAAACAACAAAGTTTTGGCAATATTTTAAAACTGTTTTCTAAAGTAAAATAGGCAACAGTTTTCAAGTGTTATAATAAAATTTTTGAATAGGCAATATAAGAATTGCTAATTTAAAGGATATTCTATAGTAACCTTTCAAAATTGTTCCCTATTATAATAGGCAACAAGAATACAAGTGTTGCTTATAGATATTCTTTTTGGTAATGTTTAAGAACTATTGCTTGTCGTTTTTCTACATATAAAAATTTAATGGTAATTTATTTTTATAATTTTTTATATAATTTTATTTATTTATTCTCTTAATTGTTCAATTCATTATTTAGATAAATAAAAAAATTAATTTCACAAATATATATATATTTATGTGTATATATATGTAGATATATATAATATTTTGCATTATAATATCAAAAGGTCAAGCTAAAAGAGTAATTGGAGTCACACATTCCTTTAAATAGGTTGAGGGTTTGAATCTACGTGGATGAAAGAAATATTATATTTTGACTATTTAGCTATTTCACAACAACTATTAAATGTTACCTATTTTATGTGACAAGCAACATTTCAAAAGTATTGCAACAGGTCTTTCAAAAATTATTGCCTATTTTTATAGTTTTAAGCAAGTTTTACAAATAGTATGACTAAAGATAAGAAAACTGTTGCTTAAACTAATAAGCAGCACTTAAATTAGAAACACTTGAAAACTGTTGCCTATACTTTAGGCAATAATTTTTAAGCTTATTTTGAACTGTTCTTAGATAAAAAAAATGTTGTAGTTTTGCTTTGAAGCCACTGTTTTCTTTACTTTTTCTCTTGAATGATTACTGAACCATGTGTGCTCTAACAGATCCTCTTCACTCTCAAGTGAATAATTATAAGAGTAGTTTGAAGACTCATAATTATTAGACGTAAGCTATTTAATGTCAATACTACATTTAAGAAAGCGTTAAAAACACATATAAAACACATAAAACTTGTATTAAAAATAAGAAAATAACTTATCATTGTGTAGATCATGAATTTAAGGATTTTTAGATCCAACCCGTTTCCTAAAAGGAGCTCCCATAGCCTACATGCTCCTCCAGAATGTTCTGAAATAAAAAATAGGATGAAGCTTGTTGAATCATATGTTTTGATGATTATAAAATCAAGAGAAGAGGTGTGTGTTACTTGTGTAGATATAAAAGATCCATGAATGAGACAAAACCTCAAAGAACTTGAAGAATCAAGAGAAGAAGAATATTTATAAGTTTAAGTTATTTATTTCTCTTAAATTCAATGTGAAAACTATGAGAGCTTAATCACATATTATCAATTTTAAAGTGAATGCATCATCCTAGGCTTATAAGTTTTATTTGTGCATCTCAGGACTTGTCTTGGTCAATTCAAGCTTGAAAATAATGTTATTCACACTTGAATTGGATCATAGAAGTTGAATTTTTCACTACATGATGTTTCACGCTTGAATTAGAATGGATTCACATGTGATTTATCACTATAGGCATACTAGATGTTATTTCATGCTTGAATCAGAAGTGGTCCACATGTGATTTGTTATCTTTATTTGTGTGATGCCTTAATGAAGCCTCTGTGCTCCAATTCATACCTGAAACCTTTTTGTATGCACGCTTGAATTGTCACATTGTGTTTTATTGCATTTTGTACTGTGACATTTCACACCTGAGAGAGAAAGCTTTCACGCCTATTTTGTCACTTGGTTTCTCGAACACATTTAGCCTAAGTAAGCCATAAGCCAAGTCAAGCCTTATTCATATTTGTGTACTTGCGTGATTTGTCACTTATAGGAACTAAGTCTTTTTTATCATACAATCCACTCTTAAATACATATCAGTTCCACATGTGATCTGTCTAACAAAATGGCTTGTCTTTATAATTAGCCATTTCATGTATGAGAGTTAGAGAACTCCACATGTGATTTGTCACCTAGAATGTCTTGGGTTTTGTAACTAACCATTTCACACATGATAGTTAGTATGTTCCACACGTGGTCTATCACCCAGATTGGTTTTGGCATTCTTCCAACCAATTCATGTGTGAGAGTCAGAGGGAACCATGCCTAATTTGTCACATAGAATAATATGCATCTTTTTACCTTACAAATCATGCATGAGTCACCCTAGTGTTTATGCTTGAATTGTCATATATGTTTACTGAAACTCATCTAGCTCCATTTCACATGTGAATCTCTTGGTTGCATGTAAGAAATGTCACTGATGGCTATATTCACTGTTCCAATAATCTAAACACTGCAAAACTATATATATATATATATATATGATACAATTGAAGTCTAGAATAAGGATTCTGATCATTGAGTGAACTATTCTACATTTGAACATTTTGAAAATATTCAATTTATGCATCAAAAGATCTTGCATTCATTCATCTATTATTCTTGATAAACTTTATGAAAAAGCTCTCATTAGTTCTTAAGGTTCAATTGTACTTAATCTACTCTTTATAGTAAGTTTATCTTTGAGAGAATTATTTCTTTGAAATAAATGAAATCTTAAAAAGAGATTTTTCGAGTGAATTGTAACAACTTATTGGTTGTAGCAAGATTGGTTAAATTGGAACAAGACTAGTCAAGTCTTGTGAGTTATATTGAGGTTGCAAGCACCTACCTAAGCTTGTGATTATAGAGGGAAATTTTAAAGGTAATCTTGAGGATTGGACGTAGGTAAAGTTTTGGGTTGAATTAGGATAAATCTTTAGTGTCAAATTTTTAGATCTTGTATCTCTCTTTTACTTTTCATACTTTTCAAAAAAAATTAAGTGTCACCCAATTCATCCCTCTCTTAGGTGCCATCCTTATCTAATAAAGCCCACTGTCGGTGTTAGTGCATGACATACACATACCACTATAGAGGCTTAATTTTGTCACACATGCCTAGCCATTGGATTCCTCTTGCCGATCACAAGTCCAACTATGTGTTTACTTTGACTAATGGGCAAGTATATGGCCCGCACGTGCCACCTAAGCAAGTAAAAAGTTTGTTTTTAATATTTAATATTTTTTAGGGTTGGACCAGGTCAGGTCAACCAACTCAACCTGAGTTTGATTAGTTGATTGGGTCAAACTTGGTTTAACTGGAGCAGGTCGAGTACCACCCGACTTGAAAATGATGCATGAATTGAAACGCACCACCTTGCAAGGACCAAAATGATGCATCATTTTAGCTAAGGTTAAAAATGACATTGTGGAGGTTGTCTTCAACCTTCAATCGGGTCGATTTAACCTGGCTTTGACTCGTTGGTCCATTGCTTTTTTTTTTTGCTCATTTCTCCTTTGTTTGGCCTCCAATTTATGTGATTTTGATCTTGTTGGAATTGTCTCTTCACCCTCTACACAACCATACAAATTTTGCAAGCTTAAAACCCATATTTCAAATATCCAAATTTTTGG